TCTCGATAATATCTTACTAAATTCAATTTCCCGGGGATAAATTTACCAAGATGGGAAGAAAATTATTTGCAATTCTCCAGGTATACTTCTGCAAGATATTCTGCCAAAAATTAAAATTCTACAATAGTAACGATAATCGAAATTTGGCTTCCTCGATCGATCATCTCTATCCAAAGAAATCTACAGGGAACAAATGAACCGGATTTAAAATTATATCGATCATCAAGAAGAAAAGAAGACAGAATTTTTATTGCAATTTACATCCTTTATCAGTAAGTTTCGATAATATCTTACTAAATTAACTTTCTCTGGAATGAATTCACCAAAATGGGAAAAAAATTATTTTTAATTCTCCAGTTATACTTGTGCAAGATATTCTGCCAAAAATTAAAATTTAAAAAATGATAATCAAAATTTGGCTTCTTTTCAAGTATCGATCATCTCGATCCAAAAAAACCTGCAGGAAACGAATGAACCAGATTTAAAATTATATCGACCATCAAAAAGAAAATAAAAGACAGAATTTTTATTGCAATTTACATCCTTTATCAATAAGAGTATCCATGTTTATATCTTCTAAACTCACGCAAAAATAATAGAAGAAGATAAGAACCAAATAATAAATGAATCCCTATAATCCTAATAAAAATTCAGCCTACTCCCAAATAACTCGCCATAGCCAATTAACCAAACATGCAGAAGCAACGGGCCGTCTGAAAAACGGATGAACCTATTCCACGGGAAACAAACTTGAAATTACATCGTCCGGCGGGAAGAATGAAAAAAAAAAGAAGAATTTGGATTTTCCCCAATAACCGGGACCAGCTGTTTTCGGCAGAACATAAGGCTGCGTCCACTTAGGAGGAGAGTATCGGTTATTAGACGACCCGGTTCCAGCAGCGAGCACCGTGTCCAGCCTGTCTGCGCCAAGTTCTGCAATCGGTCCTCTCTTTTTCCGTCTCTCTCGCGACACGGATGCTCTGTTCCTCACCCGAGTGCTCTTTTCCCCTGCTCACCCCTTCCTAGCCGGCTCGCTCTGTTTCTACCCTGCTTCCGGGTTTACCTCTTTCTGTACGAGCGGCCCGTTGCCTCAGCCCCTTCATCGCTCGCCACTCAGACTTCAATTAATTTCGCTGGTTCTGGACCGGCCGTTTTCCAATTTCGAGTTTCTCCGGTGAACGCGAAACACGGCCCTCGATACGATGAAATGGTTGCCGGCGAAGATCCGCCGCATCGATGTTTATACAGGAGCCCGGAACGCGCGCGCGCGCGCGCGTAACAGCGCTTGCAAGGGTGCACGGAGGCGCTTAACGCGAAAAATTAATTACATATGCACCCCGTCGTGCATAGTTTCGACGGCTATACCCCGTAAATCGGTGCCAGAAGCTGGGACGGGGGGAAAAACGTAGCGGGTTCGCGATGAGATTAACAGATTCAGACCACTATGGGGTTGCTCGTGGGGAGAGTGTGATTTCAGAGATCAAACACGAGAGGCGATACTGGATTTATGTACGTTAAAGGGGAAACGGGGTGGCCTGCAGGGTTGGCTTGATTGATTGTTTATAACATTGCAGAAATATGTGACGCGGTGTGGAAGGTGTCGTGTTGTGTTATCACTATACTAGATTTGTGTGTGTTACCGAGGAAACCTGGTGGTTGTTTATAAGGGTGGCTTGATTGATTGTTTATAACATTTGCAGGGATATGTGACGTAGTATGCGAAGAGTCGTTTTGTGTTATCACTATACTAGAGTTTGGTGTATTACAGAGGAACCGTGGTGGTTGTTTATAGGGGTGGGTTGATTGATTGTTTATAAATGCGTTGCGCAAAGATTTCTTCGCTTTTATGTGAAAGAACTGTGTGATGTTACCACTATACTATATTGTTGACCATTATACTATATTGGAGAGGAAATATGGTAGTTGTTTACAGATTTACTACACTAGAGTTTGGTGTACTACAGAAAAACCGTGGTGATTGTTTGCAGGGGTGGGTTGATTGATTGTTTATAAATATGTTGCGCAAAGATTACTTCGCTTATACGTGAAAAAGAATAGCGTGATGTTACCACTATACTATATCGATGCAAGTTGAAGAGAAAATATAATGGTTGTTTACAGATGCGAATTAATTAATTGTTTATAACATTGCAGAGTCGTGGAAGATTTGACAATTATGTCAATCGTTGTTTCAGAATGATGTCAAAATTTGCCAATATTTATGTTACATATACTCATGGCAGGATTGTGTCTATTACCCAATTTCTCCAAAACCGCAGCAAAGCGTTGCAACATATGTAAAGTGCAGCTGCACCCTTACGAATACCTAGTGAAATACGTGTTGGCACGACGAGACGTGGAAGAAAGTTGTAAAAAATTCCCAATGAAATCTTCCTCGAACCCTTTTTCCTAGCACCCTGTGTACAAAGACGAAACTTGCGAAAACCCCGACAAAGTGTCGCAGCGTATCTATAGCACGGCCACGTACTTACGAACGCTTAGTATGATACGTGTTACTACGGCGAGGCATGGAAGGAAGTTACATGGGAGGAAAAATTCCTGATGAAATCTCGCGAAACTTTTCGAACGCGTCGCGACACTCGTAAATCGGCGGCTTCCGATGCGCGTCGCTGCTGGAGTTTTATGGGCCTTCTAAAGTTGCCCAGCTCGCCTACACCACGGCCCTGTTTTCGCTCGCGTGATGACGGGGACCTAGCTGACGAACTGTCGTGCACGTGGAACGAGCTGATGGATGCGTTCGCGGCCGAAGGCATCAAGACGATCGGGACGAAGAGGATTTATGGCCGACGAGATATGACTTCGCGCGGGAACGGCGTTAATTGGCTGCCAGTGTCGTTTGGGGATAAATACGGAGGGTGAAATGAGAGAACGATGTTCCGACGAAAATGTGCTCGGCTTTGGCTAATAGAGTTGGATCAGCTCGTTGAAAAACCTCTGCATTGGGATGTCCTGGAATACAGAGTTTGATCTCGTCCTTTAGATCAGTGGACCCTGTTTCAGGATGTTAACAAATATTTAACTTCCCTATTATAATTTCACGCTGTTTTTCATTATCCTTGGACTATTTTTGGGTACGAAAATGAAAGAATAATTTTGGGGAAAAAAGAATTATAATAGCCTGGAATAGAGAGTTTGATCTCGTTCTTTAGACCAGTGGAGCCTGTTTAAGGTTGTTAACGAAGATTTAATTTCTTTAATTAAACTGCTTGCTATTTTTAGTTTTCCTTAGACTATTTTGGGGTACGAAAATGAAGGAACAATTTTGGGGGAAAGAGAACTATACCAAGTATAAGTTACGATATATATAATTCCTATATGTAGGATTCCTATATGTATTAATGACTTGAAACTAGAAAATGAGACATTTTCGTGAAAACAGTAAGCTTAGAAAATGGAATATTTCTATTCGACTCGAATCTATTTACAACACCTACGAGAGGAGTTGAAATGTCTTCTTATATAAATTTTGAATTAGGAAAAGAAAAGGGGAATCAAGAAATAATTCTAGTCGATAACACTTTTGTCAAGAAACTAAAAAGATATTCGAAAAGCCCTGCATAATATTTAAGCAGCTTAATTGTTGTCATTACTGAAAATTCTCCGGAAACTAATAAGCTTCATAAAAATTCCACGAACAAGAGTGACCCGTTCTCTCTTTTCACGCGAAACCGCAGACTTACTTATTCAACGATCCCTTCGCTTGACCCAGCAAGATAACAGCCACGAAACACGAAAGACACCTACTCGAGCACCAACGTCGATGCAACGTTAACCTTTATTTGCCCGAAACTTACAAAGTTTATCGTTCCGTGAAACGTTCCACGGTATCTCCCAACTCTAATAAAATCCCAGGAGAAACCTCCAATCGTTCAACGGTTATACGAAATATCCCACAATTTCCTTACAACGGTCAAAGATCACTCCACCTAAGGCAGAGCCAACAATTCGCTCAAACAAGTTCAGATCAGGGGAACAAAGTCGTTGGTTGGATCAATGGTATCTACGCTGGATGTTGAAAGAGCGCAGAGAAAACGCGCAGAAGAAAAGCTGAAATAACACACAAGGCATGGAAAACTTACAATAAAAAAGAAAAAAACAAAAAAGACATAGAAAAATACACGAAAGAGGCGCAAAAAAAGGGGCGAAAAATCAGGAAATTTGCGAAAATGGAGCAGAAATTGCGTGAAGAAAAGTGATACCAAACGATATCGAATAGACATAGAAAAGGCGTAGAAGAAGCGTAGGCGAGCTTAAAAATGTGCAAAAGGAACGCAACAAATTTAAAAAAAATTCACAGCAAAAGGATGTACAAATGGCTGAGGTAAGAGTCAAAAAATATACAAAAGGAACGCAGAAGATTCTTAGAAAAAAGGCACAAAAATGGCACAAGAGAAAGCCAAAAAATATGTGGAAAGAACCCAAGGGATTCTTAGAAAGAACACACAAAAATGGCGCAGAGATAGCATAGGAGAAACCGAAGAAACGTGCAAAGAAAAATGAGAAAGGAGCGGGGGAAGCGCGTGAAAAAGGTTGGAAAATGCGTAGAAAGGGCAGTGGAAATAGGCGTAGAAAAGGCGTAGAAAAGGCGCGTATGGCTTGGCCGATCCTTCTACGTCGAGGAGCCCCGATTGATTTACAATGGACGAAGGTGTGGCGGAATCCGACACCAATATCACGCCGATACTCGACCGCGTGGACAATTATCCTGCTGGACAAAGGCTACGGGGGTGTACGCGGCTATCCCACACGTAGGTACGCGGCGAGAGCTGGCCTACGGCTCTTTACGCAGCTGACGCGGCTCGTATTAGGAATCGCGTGGGCACTCCGCACGTGCGTGGGCAAACACCCGCACGTCGTGGCGCACGCAACTTCGAAGAAAACTCGAACGTTCCTCCAACGCGGCTAGAGGAGGTGCAAGGACCTCCCGATATTTATCTGCCATTGAAAGCTGAACGCGACCGCCTCGAGACGATACTTACGGGACGCCGCTCGTCACCTCCTACTCCAGACGGACCGTTGCATTCCTCATTTTTCGTAGCGGTCGCAGAACAGGGTGGCGAGACTTGTATGACGCACGAGACAAATCTTCTGTTCCATATGTTCAACCCAATGGTCGGTATGTCATCTCACAGAGTTCCTAATTTCGGCATGGTCGAACATCAAGATCACCTAAAATGATTTTAACGTATTATTTTAATTTAGGTGTGGTAGGGCTTTTAAAGGGTCAGACTCATGAGAATCCTTAAAAAGTCCATTGACTTTTCAAGAATATACTATTAATGTAATGCTAGGATTGATCAGTGTTCTAAGTAACGATTTGTCGAACACGAAACTTCGAATGATTTTTAATGCTACGTTATTTAAAAAATCATCTTCTATTCCCAAAAGATAGTTGAACAAAGTGCGAAATGAATCATACCGCTTGATGCAACGTTTAGTAAATAGAATTTGTTTCATAATAGTGGTTGAAGTTTCTGTTTACATGAAACTGGCCCTTTAAAAATAAGTTTCTTAGGAATCATTTTGACATTAATTAGAATTAGACTGCATAGGCTGGTTTGAATTTCTAAGTCAAATTTTTGATCTAAGAAAAATCAGAATTTTTAGAAATAACAATGTCTAATTACAATGATTTTTAGACTAAACACTCTATATTTATATAAAGATAATGTTGCAGATTTGACATTAGCAAAATGTCAAAAGTCAACATTGAGAATTTGAACGGAACGTTAATGAAATTTTCTAAAGGTAACAATTTTTCATATTTACTGTATGAAACATGGGAAGGAGAATTTACTTGTTACACTTTAGACCAGTGTAACAGTACAAGAGAAATAGTAACGAATCATAGAAACGGATGCATGGCACAAAAGAATACAATGGTAATAAATATCGACATCGTTCGATACAACGGCATAAACTATTTTTAATTCATAAAAATAATTCCTGACCGCAAATTGAATAGAAAGATTAGCATTTAATTCTAAAGTACACGGTGACTGTCCGTCACATATTTGCATGAACCACCGATGCACGCTTTTGGTTGTTTTCTTCTGTCTACCCCCATTGTTCTTCGGGTGATAATGAGCTCATAAATACTCGGCAATCATCGAATAAGGCGCAAGCATCGTATGTTCTTCAGGGCATACATACTCGAATAACAACCAGTCGCCTTCCTTCATGACCGGCAGGTTTATGTCTTCGCTCGTCACGCCTCTACGTGCTGAACAAGACAACCTGTCCTTCCCTCCCGCGTTCTTCTCTTCGTCGGTTTGTCAGTTTTCACCGGAAGACGAGAGCAAGTCGAAACGAATTTCAAAGTTATGCCTGTAAATGCGTAAGTCGTATATTTTCTGAATATCGTATGAGATTGCGAGAATATAATTAATTATGTCAGACAATGATAGTTTACCGCAACATTCTTTCAACCTAATAAACGAAGATTTCAAAAGATTTTCACTTGAGTTTCACTTTAACTTTAGTTTTCACTTCCACTGCAGAATTAATTCGTTTAAATTTCAATTAAGATACCTAATTTTAATATATACTCCACGCTTCACGAGGTAAATGCCATTAACGATCTTCAAAATCGAATAACCTAACCCCAAAACAAGTTATTGTAGTCACCTATAATAACAGAATATGACATAATACTCTTAACATGTTCAATATAATTAAATATCGTTTTAAAAGTAATGTATATAATTTTTCGTTATAACTTACTGAATTTCAATTGATCTTTAACCAAATGTCAGGCACTCTATTGCAGCGGAAAGTTCGGCAATTATATAATCAAAGACGAAATATATTACTACAATTATAAAAGTATATGATAGTTCAGATTCTTTGACATTTGCTGTGATCCAAAAATGAATTCCTAAATGATCTCCGAGTTTCTTACCTATGTACTTTCGAATCAAAGCAAACAGTAATGCGCGATCTGTGCAACGATGAATTAGGTTATTCGAAAACTGTCTCCTTGGAAGATGAAAACAAATAGAGCAGCGCCCTGTATATTTGAAATGGTACGAAACACCAACAGTATTGCTACGATATCGAAGTAACATCTTTGTAAAGAGTGAAGTGACATCTCGTATAAATTTAAAAAACGAACTAAAGGGATCGGTAAAATACAGAATTACACGATGAGATTCTCTCAACAGACAGTAACCACGCAAATTTCTTTGTCACGACATAGTGAATATTTTTACCTTTTATATCGCGCCACGTTTCGAAACTATTATATCTCTATTTCTGCCGAAATTTGATCAGTCATATTTGAAAATAAGTGTATAGTGTATAGTAGAATTAAAAAATCAACTACTTCTTGGGAAGGTTATTTAAAATAATTTTAATGTAGTATTTTACAATTGCAGAAAATACCAATCACATTCGTCGTGAAGTAAAAGTTATTATGAAATGAATGGCAGTGCCATCTGTGAATCACACAATATACTGTATGCTTGCTTGCGTTATTAGTATATATATTTGCAGATTTCATTTATATCTACCTGGTTTATTTGATGTATTATATACCTTTGGTAGGTTATATAATACAAATGAAGCTCAGTCACAAATGATCGTCTGTGGTCTCGAGTTGAACTAGGACTTATCAACCGAGAGTGCCAAAGCATGTAGTTATCTTGTTCATTGAAGTATGTCTCATAGGCAATCGATTCTTTCCAATAGCGAACTAGTTTATTTTGGGCTCATCATTGATGACAGTTTTAATTCTACTTATTTTTATCATCTACTTTGATATGCAAGTTTGGCACTCTCGACAATCATTGTCCCTTTATTTTCATATACGCAGAACACAGAACACCAGCAGAAAGATACAAAGGATACTTCCTTTCTTTCTATCGTTCTTTTAACTTTAGGCATGTCAGATCAAATATATTTGAAGCTAATTAATCAGTTATTTGACCAGATTTTTCATTATTCGATAACCGATTAATTACTTTTTTAGTACGTTATACGGAAAAACAAATTTTTAAACTTTGTATTATCTATTTTAACTGTTATAAATAATAATTATTCGTAACTAAATAAATGTAATTTATAAGAAATTGTCATTACTTATTTTGTATATTACCAGCTTGTTTATATTTTTATCTTATTGAAATTAATCTAGTCGAAGAAATTTCGTCGTCTTATTTTCCAAAAGCTAAAAATGCATTGGTTAATGAGTTAATCCAGTATAAAACTAATCGGAAAATCGGTTATGAAAAAAATGAAATTATTTGGTATCCCTAACTGTACTTGATTCAAATACTAAACTCTTAAATATCTTACATTTAGTAGTTTCTATTCACATTCACTATAAAATTCTAATTTTAAATTTTGACAACTTTACTCAATTGTATAACATACTGTGTAATTTTATATGCTAATTACTTTACTACATTATAATTAATTGTTATATTAAAGCAAGTAATTATTTAATATAGATTATTCTGATAATCATTATTTATAGATATTTTGTTTACAGATATTCTTATATAAATATGTAATATCAAAACCACTTAAAAATGCAATCGAGTGTAATTAGCTGTATTATCAATGAAATCAGTTTTAATACCTTCATATAATTTCTTATCTAATCAGTTAACTTGATTAAATTTTTTATTAGATTATTTAACTCATATAGGGAAATATATAGAAAAATGATAATTATATAATTACATAATGAAAATGTTTACAAACAAAGAATTATCATTCTTGAACAGTTATACCTCTTTTAAAGGATATATATATATATATATATGACATAAGAAAACATTTTTACTTTACTATATAACTTCAATAGGTTATGACTTATCTATTTATGAAATTAATAATTTATCTGTACAATTTATTAAGAAAAAATTAAGAACACATAATAATTTCTATAATATCTCTTTATGTATTTACTATTTGTATACAAATAATTGTCATATTTTCAATAATTATTTAAAATTAATATACTTTAGCCAAATCTAATTCTCAAATTATTTGTAGTTGTAACTACTACTTGCTTTGTAATGTATAATAAAAAGAAAAAAATGCTTTAGGAAATTCTTCATTTTTGAATAGAAAATATTATTTTAATTACTATATATTCAGTAATCACAATATCTTTTTGGGAATTGGATGCTAATTAAATAGCTTAACAAAAAAGTTATAATAAAAATAAGAATTAAAAAGCAGGTCTCATTTTAATTTTGTTTTATTATCACAGTTGACATTAATGCAACAGATTCGTAATAATTATGGTAATAACAATAATAAAGTACATTGATAATTACTGAAAATATTGATACATAAAATATGCATACGTATGAATTAATAATTATGTTTTTAATGTTATAGTTTTCATACAATAACTGTTATAAAATATGAACTTAGACACTAAAGGCACTACGCAGTAGTGTAAGAAGCTTATTTGTAGATTTATTTCTAAGTTTTCAACACTACGCATAAATTTTAGTTAAACATTTTGGAAGAATTCAATGGTGTTATCATATTATTAGAACGGTCGTGCAGTATAACACTAATAACTGATATTAAATTTCTAGTATTATTGATATAATATCCTAAAGAAGCATGAAATTCTTACAATTAGTAATTTAAGATGCGAAAACCAGTTTATTTTATTTTTTCATTACAAATTTAAATGTTAGGTTCTGTCTCACTTAAAGTGATTTGTTTGGGAGGAGCGAAATCTGCTTTCCACACGTTTTCTTTGCAATGCTCAACAGCCTTAAAAAAAGGAGAAGAAATATTTATCATGTCATACATCTACATATAGTCATTAAATCATCCTGCACTAATGCAAACATATGGATAAAAATGTTCTATCTAAAGTATTGTACAATTCACAAAGGAAACATGAAATACTTCAAAATGAAATGTTTTGCGTATTATGTATCCTTTGTTGTTACATGCAGAACAATTTAATAACATTGTTTATATAAAATTATTTATATGTAAAATGTTTAATTAGATTTACATACCTTACATTCATGAGCTGTTTCATTAGTAGAACACCAATAAACAGGTCCCCATGTGCAATGCTTGATACGATTTTTTTCATACGATCGTTTAATTCGTGAATTTTCTAAGTACACCATTGAATAATCATTAGGCGCACAAAGACCTATTTTACTACATATTTTATAAATATTTTCACGTTGTTTGACGAGATTTATTATACTTTGCCCATAAGAATTAATAAGAGTAGTACACTAAAAACAATTAATGATTATCATTTTATAAATCTTCAGAAAAGTTAAAATATAACCAAATTATCTTACCTTGTTTTCCTTGCTTTCTGGTAAATGTTTACATACTTTAGATACTACTTTCTTAATATTATCATCAACATTTTGATTGTCTAGAAGTTCATCTATCATTGATATAATTGATTTGCACAGAGCACATTCCGTTACAGAAGCTGTAAATATAATCAATTTTTATTACAATTATAAGTAAATATTAAGATTTTAATAAAATTTTAAATATTTTATATACCTTTCATTTCCTCTATGTAACTTGAACAGAGTCCAATCACACTGCAAACTTGCTTCGGACTAACATCTTTTGTGATCATATCAATTGCGATATCAGCATATTTATTAACGTAATTGTTACATTTTTTTTTCACACTTTTTGGTAAATGACTGCATACACCACGTACTGCTTTTTCAACTGCAGTTTTTCCCTTTTCATTACCAAGTTCTTTGTCAATGAAATGCATAGCAAATTCACACATAACACAACCTCCTCCATACTCTGATACATCAGAGTCTAATGGAGTATTTGGTATCTCATTAGATACTGCAATAAGAGATGTATCTTTTAGATCATATAAATTTTCCGAATATATTTTCATTATGCAATAATATAGCAGAATATCTACATACAAATTTCACCATTTTTGTCAGTAATAAATCCATCACTTGGACTAGGATTGTTTGTAGCATCACATAATTTAATGTAGACACATACTTCTTGGGGTGTTAAATCTGCCAATAACAATTCTATAATTTCTTTACTGTAATTTTTAACCAAATCTGAGCATTCTCCAGATAAACTATGTGGAAAATGGGTACATAATTTCTCCAATTCATGTTCTATATTTTCCTGTAATATTACAATGTATTTAATGTTATTTATAAATACTTAAAAATTTATAAATCAAGATCTCTATAACCTGAGTCCTGTTTTTTTTTATAACTTCATAAATTTGTGTTACAGCAAGTAAACATAATGGGCAATTGGGTTTAGCCTTTTTCTCTTCAAGCATATATTTTGCTGGGACATTTGCCCAGAACTTCATTAATTCTTCACCTGGACACAGACGCAACATTGGGCACACCTATAATTAATATTTTATAATTTATGGTGTTTATTAAATAATCAATATGTAGAAATATTTATACTAACTTTAGATGGATCAATTTCTTGAATAAGGATAGCTACAAGAGCATCTGCATAAAGGTCTATAAATTGTGTGCATTGTCCTTCTATAGATTTTGGTAATTTTTTACATACGTCGTCTAATGCCTTTTTTATTTTGTCCTATAAAGTGAACAGTACAATTTATTTTGATATAATATTATATATTTTTCTTATCAATACAATTTATCAATATAAAACGTAAAAATATTTTTGTATGTAATTATTACCTCTGAATTAGGATCTGTCACCTCATCTTGTAAGAAATGTAATATATATTCACATAATGCACATACTTCTGTTCCTTCGGTACCTAACAAACCTTCTGATATAGGAAATGGTACTAATCTTTCAATAGGTAATTGCATTGCTTCAACTTCTGATTCGCTAAGTTGTTTATTATCACCTACCAAGTTCTTGTTTTTACTTTGGAAATTATGTATTCCTATTTCAGCTGCATCTTTAGGTACTAAAGGCCAAATTGGCCCATTCTATTTAATATAAAATGTTTTATTAATACGACTTTAACAAATAGATCTTATTACTTCAATAAGTGTTAAACTAAAATCATATATATAATTAATAAAGTGTAAATATTAACCTGCAATGCTTTAGATGGAGCAACACATATTCCAGCCATTTGACATACAAACTTAGCATCTAAATCTTGTTTGAGATAATCATATATTTGTGGAGAATATTCATCAACTATTGCAATACACTTAAATAAAAAAAGATATATGAGATTATAATCAACAAGCATCTTTTAATACATAAAATATATAAAGAAAAAAAATTGAGAAATATTTCAATAGTTACCTCAGTAGAAAATGACTTGGTTTGTTTACATAAACCTTTTAAAACTTGTTCAAATTCTATTTGTGTAGTATTGGCTACTAGAACATCTTTTAAATGTTTTACAAGCTGCTCACATAATTCACATGGAAGATCATCATTTACATCAACCATACCCACACTTGAAAGTGGTCTGATTTCAACTTTCAATGTCTAGAATGTAATTTTTGTGCATAACTAACTTATAATACTTCAAGGTAGTTAGATGCATTTATATTACTTTTCAAAACTCACTTTATCAGCATCTTCATGGTTGTGGAATTTAGCACTGCATTGGCCTGACAAGTGACAAAGATTTTGAGCATTGAAATTTTCTTGTAAGTGAGTATATATTGTGTCAAAGTAAGTTAAAATTATAGCTGAACAAGTATCTGTAAAGGTACTAAGATCTCTACACAAATTAAGCGTTTGTTGTAACATTTTATCACGAGGAGTATTATTTAGCTTATGTTCCATATGTGCTGCAACTGTGTAACATTTTGAACATTCATCTGGTTCGAATTCATCTTTTTCCAATGAACGAGATTTCAACCCTTTAATCTAAAATATAGTATGTACAAAACAATAAAAATATTTTAACATAACATAAAAAATTATTCATTCAATTGTTTTATTTAAAAGAATAATTTTAATTGTAATTACCTGACGTTCAGAATATTCATCTTCCAATAATGCGTCTAGACGAGCAGAATTACAAAGTCCAGCAACCGAACAAACAACAGATGGATTCATTTGTGATGACAATGTTTCAATAAGCTCTGGGATAAACTGATCTACAATTACTGTACATTCTTTCACTACTAATTTTATTTTAATAAGTTTACAGCTTCCTTCAAAAACAGCTTTTATATCTTCTTGAGTTTCATTGCTATTTAATTGATCACGAGCTTGCTGAACCATATCTTTACAAACACCACAAACACTGTCATTATCTTCTGGTACTTGCAAATCTTCCCATACTGTTTTTATACAATGTTTAGTTGCATTACATCCTGCTGCAGTTCTACATGTATATAAGATAATATATTTTAGTACCATTGTAATTTATCATGATATCATATTTAATATAAAACCTTAGGAATAACAAAAATTCTCCTTATATTTCAAACACAGCTACACAAATAAATAATAAAAATTATAAATTCACAAAATGATATTAAAATTGTGCACAATATGCTAGCTTTAAATTTAATAAAATGATGATACATAGAAGATTCATTTAATATTGATATTAATAATAATATTTATAATATTCTATTGAACATACTTAATATTTTCACACCAATATGAAGGTCCCCAAGTACATTCTTGATCACCTAAAAGGTGAAGATTTGCTGGACTTACAGCAGTAATTACAGCCACCCTTGCAGTACATACTAAAAGCAAATGTAATTTATTAAATGTAATGAAATAATTATCCATATTTTATCAAATATCCTAATTATGGGCAATTTATATGTTTGTAGAAATTAAGTACTGGAACATCAAATTTATTGTTTACAATATATTATTTGAACAATAAATGCAAAAATATATTCATCATTATTTTTTAAGATCACTAACAAGAAGTACATAGCTATGAACGAGATTACACACTTAGAAGTACTCTTATAAACCATTAACTATACCACAGTAATTGTTAAACACTGACTCATCTCATTCATCTGAATAAGCAAATCCTATCTCTTGTGAGTAATAACAATGCGAGAGTAGATATAACAATGTCACAAAATTTATATTATTTTTCAATTTTACATATATAATAATCAATGCTTAAACAAAATAATCTTCATAATGTTATGGTTCCAAGGTACAATCACAATATTGCGTATTTTCGATAAGAGTCCAAGAATTATGACGTAAAAAATACATTTTGAAAATGTAAGGGATAAAAATATGATGTATAGAAAATTAGCAGTGTTAAATTACGTTGCGGTTAAACAAAGGAAAAGATCGAATTAAATGCAGAATAATCGAGATGCTTACCCGTAAGGATCGCGCAAAGCGCGATCAAAATCTTCATCTTCGTTGTTTAACTTCGTAATTTCGTTGGGATAAATATACTGATACAAATTTAGAGATATATTTCTTTGTTATTTTCTATCCGCAAGATAGTTCAACGATGGCGTACAATTACCTTGTTCTATAAAACGTAATTAAAGAAGAAATATCGAGAAATCGTTCAACAACCATCCACTCGGCGCTACTGTCAAGTGACTGTTCCTAACGCTTATACATTCTTTGACTGATACGTTTTCCCATTCCCTCTCTTTCTATGTCTCTAAACAGCCAATAGGATTATGGCATTCCTACAAGATATTTAATAGTTTATACTGATGTATTCTTAAAAATGTAAGACATCATTAAAATTTTGTCGAATTACAAATGAATTTATACATATTTTTGTATTGAAACAGCAAGAGTAATTATAGTTATCATTGATTTAATTTTTACTGAAACAGATTGTGTTTTGTGGTGTCATCTGTCGGTGCATATGTAAAAAGTGCATGATACAAAGGTTCTAATTATTCATGGTCCATAACTTTTCTTCTAGTCATGAATTTGTGTCCTGATTAGACAAATGTAATTTATCACGCAATAATAACAAGAGAAATATTTGCTATAATACAAGAAAAGTATTATCCGTTCACACTTACGTACGATATTAACATATCGATAGCAAATAAAAGTATTTCAGATAATTCAACGACAGTTTGATCGATTACAGTATTTGATATTCCTTTGTGGCGAAATGCACAATGCAAATATACACATGTAATTATACATAAGTATACATAAAAATTTACAATATCACATTACAATTTCTTACCATTTTATGTAATTATAGAAAATATAAATATATTTTTTATTTTCATTATATCCTTGTAGTATCTTACAATTGGTATATAAATACAATATATTATTATGGTTTTCTTTTATACTGGATATCATAAGTATATTTTTATACGTAATATATTTCGAAATCAATTAAATTTTAATCTATACGTTTCCATATTAGTAACTATTATCTCTACTATTCAAATGTTATAAATATTAAATATTGCGTACATAGATTATTAACGATACACACATATTAAGAAGGCTATTGCCTCGAAACAGCAAAACGCATTTTATTTCCAAATTTATATAACTATCTTCAGGTTTGCTTCGTAAGTTTCCGTTAAAGCAAAAAAATATCCAAGTAAAGATAAAAATGAATTATATTACAACATTAAATTCATTATGCTCGCATTATCGTTTCACACTTCATCGCTATAATAGCACTCGCGTTGAAAAATAAAGTATATTTACTGATACAACAATATCACATACGCGTTTATTATTAAACATTGTTATGTTTCTGTGTAGTATAAACGTGAATATCGCACTCTTACGTTTATAAATATTCCGTGCAGATTTTGAAATTGAAAGTCAAAAAAATCAAACATCTATTCGTCGATGTGATATACATAGTAAAATACGTCATACAAATATACACATTATTCAGTATCATTGTGATGTAATGTCAAATACTTGACAGAGAACATGTCTATTTTGTATTACTTTCTATTTATTTTCTAATTTTCAACATAGTTAAGTTTTTTAATTGTAGGTTAGAATATGAAAGTTCAGGCGTGTTTAAAAGTTGAAGGACATTGATTTGCTGTAGATTGAACGCAATATGAACACGTAAAAAAACTATAAAAAGTGGTATAATCTTAACGCATCATTGTCACAAAAGATTTTAAAAACTTCCTGTGATAAAGCAATATCAAGGAACACTTTTAAATATAAAAGTTATGGAACATTGTAGCTTTATCTTTATAATTAAACAAATAATATGTGTACTGTTGCAAGAAAATTAAATTCATATTTTTATCCTTTAATATAAGTACTTGCAATTAGTTCTAGTACTTCATACTTCGTGTAATCTCGATTACTTGTATACATTTTATGTTAACTATCACTTATCTCGTTAATTGCCAATGAAATTAAATAAATTGATTAATACGTGATCCATAATATATCGTTAAAAAAAATTTAAAAAAAATTACAGCACGTAAAGTCCAAGGTAGTAAATATATATAGTCGAATTTTTTTTATAATTATGATTGTATTATTTTTAGTAGGAATGAAACGACTCACTTTTTACATACTTTTTAAATAATGTAAATTTATTATTGTATTTATTATTAAATTCTTTTCTATGAAACGATATTAAGTAAAAAATATAAATTAAGATCTTCAGTTTACCTTTCATCTTTTTTCTGTTTCAAAATAATATGTAAAAATGTACCTATAATTACGTTTAAATGTTGTTTAAATATTATATTACGTATTTATGAAATAAAGTACGTTCTTTATAACTCCTGCTTGTTTAAATTAATTTAAGTGTGTCAAAGTATAGCCTAATATTTAACACAGTGGAATTTAATTTTATAAATAAGGTAAACTCGATTGTCAATAGAGAAGGTTTGTATACTTACATCTTTTAGGAGAGTACAGCATATCAAAACTTTGCTAAATGACATAATATTCGTGTTACGATAAATCACAAATATATATTATATAACGTATATTTGTATAAATTTTACCTTACAATTATTTTATAAATATTTTTGCAAAATCCTTCTACAACAGTTTCCGTGGTGTAGTGGTTATCACATCCGCCTAACACGCGGAAGGTCCCCGGTTCGATCCCGGGCGGAAACATACTTTTTTATTATTTAGTCCAATGATAATATAAAATGAAACCATAATAGCTTTACAAGTCACTGTTAATTGAATAATTTAAAAAACTGTGATATGTAAAGGTGAAATCTATAAAAATAGAGAAAGAAATTGTATATTTCTTAAATGTTCTGCTAGAAATTCATATATATAACAATTGTAAATATATAAGAATATCTAACACAATATTTAAAAAATATACGATTCCTTTTATATATTATTCTTATACCCTATCTCTCTATGTATACCTATATTCTATATATTATGAATATATATTAATAAAAGTAACTAATGTAAGTTTCAAAATTTTATTAACTGAATATATTAGCAAATAATTTATTCTTACACACGATTCTTATCATTTATGGCTCATTTAAAAATTTACCGATTAGGCATCCAATTGTTCTAATTATATTTACAAGGAGGGTGCAAGTACGTCGGGTCACCGATTTAGTTAAAACTTTCCAGGTTTGTAGATTCGACATGCAGTTCAAGAATATATATCCGTATAGCCGCAACTACTTAAAAGTTTTTGAGATATTTATTATTAAAGTTTTACTACAAACCGATTAACGATTTAATTCCAACATTTTTAAATTGCAGTGGTGTTATTGGCAACATTTTTATGCTCATATGTTTGAGGTCCGCGGTTCGATTCTCAACCATAGCTAGTATTTTTTTTCGATCTATTTTTATTTTGTATTCATTTTTCACCCATGAAAACATTGTAAATAAACAAATGTAAATAAAATTTCTTAATAAAAAAACTTATTTTTCACGTTTTCATATGTAAGTATATATTTATTACAAAATAACAAGAATATTATGCAAGAAAAACAGTTTCCTTATTTACTAATCTTATTTATTACAGAAAGAAAACGAAAATATAAATAATCGTTAGATACAGGAAATACAAAACTTATCGCTCATGTAAGTATTAATTATTAAATTAAACATTGTCTAAGAAAGTTGCTATAATTCCAACTTTGCTGTGCATCTATAAAAATTCATAAATTAATTACAGAAATTAAGTGATTTGTTAATTTTTCTTCAAGTGAACAGGAGAGTACATAGAAAATGAGAAAAACTGCAAACAAACCCTGGAAGCATTGTAGTATCCACGCAGATGTGCCTGCATCACGCAGAAGAATGTAAGTCTTTGTATTAACATAACGTACAGTTGTAATTAAATAGTGTAAATTATGAACCATTGCTTTTCCATCTTTTATTAGTAATAGCAGAGCTTGGTTGTGAAAAAACAATATTCTACTGAATTAAACAGGCATGTGCAACAGTAAAAAAATATTGGATACATGAAATGTCACCAGCATAGAGCCATTAGATGCCAAGAATTATATTTTATAGCAAGAAAAAATTGAAGCAGCAATACAAATATATTATAATATGTTTATTGGATTCTAGGTCGGCTAATCATATAACATACAAATTATAAATCTTTGATGGTCAAATAAAGATTCAGAAAATGAAGATGGCTTAGGCAAATAGAAAGGAATGAAATTAATTTAGGTGATGGCTTATAACAACTAAATATAGAAAATACAGTGAGATTGAAAGGTATGTTGTATTTCTTATCTAAATAAATATTAATATCAGTGGTCCAAGCCAATGACCATCGCCAATGTGTTAAATTTCAGAATGATGTAGCTGAGGTATATAAACAAAAAAGAGAGGTTTGAATGAAAGCACTAAGAAGAAGAAACACATATTATGTCGAATTAAGAAACAGGAAAGGGCAGCATATGTATCAACACAGAAGAATGTGTGGCATGGACATGCAAACATAAGGATCATTGAAGAGATGGAAAATGGACACTTGGTAATAGTTATAAAAGTTAAAGATAAATTGAATATAGAGTATAAATGTTGCATTAAGGTAGAAATGCGTAGAAATATCTATAGGAACCTGGAAACTATAAAAGCAGCAGGAATAATGGGTTGTAGCACATGGAATTGATTGTGACAATAAAGACAACGTTAAAAGGAGGTAAAAGGTAAGTCTTTCCAGCTGATGATTATTAGAAAAAAGAACCATTTGTTTTACTTGATTTGTAAATGATTAAAGATTTAATATGAAATATTATTGACTAAGAATTCTTTTATTACAGGAGACTTACAAACATGAGTAATATTTATATGCAAGAGCCAGCCACTAAGGGTAAAGTAATAAGTATTGGTTAATAATATTTCAATGGATTGCATATCTGTTTTTAAAAATTTAACTGATATACAATATTTACTTTCTAAATTTTTGTATTAATATATTAAGTATTTTCTAGTTTGAATTACAATAATAAATAATAAATTTTAATAACTTTGATTTTAAAAATATTTTACATTAATAAAATTAATATATTTGTTATAACAAGGTTACAATGAAAACAACTGTTGGTGATATTGAATTAGAATTATGGGCAAAAGAAACTCCCATGGCAT